ACGGCAGTAGCAGCGAAACTTTAGGAAATACGGGGGGTGTAGCAGAGATGGGAAAAACTAATCATCCGCCGCTAAAGAACAGGGAATTCTATCGAGCACGCGTGTACATGACGGGTAAAGCACAAGTCATCCCACAGCAGCAGATAAAGAGTTTGTTTCAACTTCACAATGTTGCACAGTGTTGTACAATGTTACACAGTGCTGTACAATGTTGCACAGTGTTTAACAATAATGCTGCTGTGTTGATGCAAGTAACATATACAAGTACATCGCGTGTATTGGCACTGCTGCATGTTTGCTGCGACAACTAATGATTTGATGCGCTTTTTTCTGATAGCTGTTGGACCATTGCATGCACCACTGAAAACAACGCATGTACAGGTGTAATGGCATATTGCAACAATAAGCAAAGCATCAGCATCACCACATTCCGAATAAAATTACGCCGGGATAGAAGAAGCTTCCCCAAGATGTTGCAAACGTGTGAAAGTTGTCCGAAGAACAGAATATATGCAGAAGAAAAGATTCGGCGTTACCTAGAAGTCTGAAATTGCACATCGCTCACCTTGGAAAATCGATCGATTAGGGAAAGAGCTAATAAAACGAGGCCCGAAACTAACGTTTGTCGCTCGCGTGTAGCTAGCTGATATAACTAATGGCTAGTAGAACATCACGGGCTGCACACCCTCTCTTATTCCCTTCCCCCCATCATCCGCGAATGGCTGAACTGCCCACCGAACACCCGCACTCCAGATGAGTGCGTTTTGACGGAAACTCTCAAGATCTGCTGGATCTTTGAGATCCGCCGCCTCGCTGGCTAACGAAGGCTTCACGTTAGCTTCAGGCCCCGTGAACAGATGCTAAGCGACAGACATTACACGACGGACAACGCAATCCATTTGCTAGCCGACGAGATAGTACAGAGAACACCAGCTACAGAGAGAAAATGCCAAGTACGTAGTAGACAGGTAGCTAGATAGATAGACAGGTAAGTGGACAGGGGGACAGCTTAATCTGAGCGATACTATACCTTTATCATACGACTCACTGAGATCCGCCTGCTTTTCGCAGTAGCTGACATTAGCTCAATATCCTTGAAAACAATCGCACAAAGTGGCAATCAAGAAACGACATTCACAGACACACAAATGATTATATAAAGATGGGTGGAGAATGAGAAAGAGAAAGAGAAAGAGAAAACGAGAGAAAGAGAGATAGAGAGAGAAAGATAGGGTGACAGAGGGAGATAAAGAGTGCATGAGAGGGAGAGGGGGAAAGAGAGCAAGCGAGAGGAAAAGGGGGAGGGGAAAGAAGGGGATGGCAAGGGGGAGAAAGGGGAGGGAGAGGAATAAGGAGAGGGAGAGGGAGAGGTGGAGGGAGAAGGAGAGGGAGATGAAGAGGAAGAGAGAGAAAAGAGAGAGAGAGAGAGAGAGAGAGAGAGAGAGAAATAACGCGAGAAAGAGAGTGCTTGAGTTGGTGTTTTGTGTGCATGGGTGTGTCTGTGTGCATATGTTTATGTTTGCGTGCATGTTTGCGTGTTTCAGTACGTTTTTGTGTTTGCGTGTGTGGAGTATTTATGCATGTGAGTACAGGCACGCGCAGACCAACAGGAGTGCAGATCTATATGTCAAACATAGATGTTAAGAACAAGAATACATAACAGGCTTTCACAAATACTGGAAAGGTCAGTAGAACATATTAATATATATATATATTTATGTATATATATATATTTATGTATATATAT